TCGGCTCCTCGGCTTCTGCTTCCGCTTCGTCGGCGTCGGATTCCCTTCGGACGCGGGACTCGGGGGCGGCTTCTGTTACTTCTTCCTCGGGCATTTCTGTCGCCTCCTCAGTGACTTCTTCTGTGACTTCCTCGGCCAGTTCCGTTGTCTCCTCGAGGAATGCCTCCGTCGCTGCTTCGGTCGTCGGTTCCGTTGTCTCCGCGGAGTCGGCTGCTTCGAGGGGCGGGAGGGCGAGCACCTTCCCGCGCCGGGACGAGCTGGCGGTTCTGAGGAACGCTTGAGATTCGTCCTCGGGCGCCTCTCCGTCGGTGCTGTTGGACAGGATTTCGGTCTTCTTGGTTCTGGCGTCAAGGAACTGGCTGAAGTCCTCGGGGGCGCTGCGGGCGATGACGTCCGCCGCCGGGCAGAACTGGACCGGTACGCACTGGCAGTCCTCCCGGTACTGCGGCTCTTGTTCCCGGTACAGCGGCAAGAGAGACAACGGCTGGAATCCTCCGTGTTCCAGCCTTCCAGGCCGGAAGTTCGGGTCGATGGCGTTGGCGCTGACGGCCTCCTGGACGCTTGTCAGGACCTGGTGCTGCTGCGCCATGTTGTCCTGGAAGCTCTGATGTTGTCCCTGCAGATGCACCTGGCGCTGCCCCTGGAGGTGTCCCTGGGAGCTGATTTGCTGGAACGCTTGGTTACCCGCCTGCGAGATGCCTTGAGATCCGTGATGCTGAGTGCTGATTGAACTGCTGACGCGGATGCCAGCAGGAGAGCCAAGGGGAACGCCCTGTGAGCTTCCTACCAAGACGCCTTGACGTACTCCTGACGAAGCTCCAATGGTCGCCCCAGAGCTTTGCTGGGCCACTGGGAAGGTCACGTGTTGAACGCCGAGGGAGCTTCCCTGCGAGAATCCTTGAGCGTTGACTTGCTGCGCGCCGGAAGAGCTTCCAAATCGAACACCGGCGCCATGCTGAGCGCTGCTGGAGACGCCATGCTGAGCAGCCTGCGAGCTGCTTGAGGAGGTTCCAAAGCGCACACGGGAGCCATGCTGAACAGCCTGCGAACCAGCCTGGGAGAATCCGTGTGCGTTAGACTGCTTGGCGCCGGAGGACTCAAAGCGCACTCCCTGCGACTGCGTCTGAGAGCCGCTCAGGTGGAGGTCGGAGGAGCTGCCCGCAAGGTCGTCCTGGAACACGAACTCGTCGCTCTCGGCGGCCTGGTGCGCGCTGCCACGCTGGGAGGTGACGACGGCGTGGACGGTCTGCGCCTGGCCTTGGTAGACCTGTGGGGGGACGTGCGGCAGGGCGTCGTTCACCTGGTAGATGGTAGTGTGCTTGTGGTGGTGCTCGACCACTGTGGTGGGCTGGATGGCGCCGTGGTTGACGTGGGCGGGCTTCACGGGCTGGTGGGAGTGGTGGTTGGGCAGGGGCACGGGCGCGTGGGCGACGTTGAGGGCGGGCTTGGGCTCCTGGTAGATGGCAAAGTTGGTGCTGGGATTGGCGTGCAGGGAGCCGTGGGGCGGCCGCGCCACCGTCTGGAAGCGGTCGCCGAAGGAGGGCGGGATGGGCTTGCCTACCGGGCGGCCGAAGGGCTTGGGCTTCTCGGTCTGACCGAAGGACGGGATGAGGGGCTGGAGGGCGTCGAGGATGCCCTGGAAGGCCGAGGGCGCTTCGGTCGTGACGATGTGCTGGCGGGGAGGGAAGACGTGCTGGGGGCGGGGAGGGGGAGGGGGAGGAGGGGGAAGGACTGGCCGGGGCCGGGGCGGTACAAGCGAGGCGGAGCCACGTGCGCCTTCGCCGGGTCCTTGCCCTTGGTGCCACACTGGAAATCACAGGGAGGACATTATAGACCATGGTGGCATATATACTTATGAATGTAATATTATCAACCTGATCTCACACACTAAGCGCAATCACAGTCTACTTACGTTAAAGCCAATGCCGAGCTTGCAAAGCCTGTCCCTGATGCCGAGGAAGCGAGCCTGGCGATCCCCGCTGGCGAGGACCACGCCGTCGACGACCTCCAGGTCTCCCACGCCGTCGGCGCTCACGGCGAAGGACGCCTGTGGATCCGTAGGACCTTGTGCATCTTCGAGGAGGATGAGCTCAAGGGCGTGGAGGTCTTCGGGCGAAAGGGCGCCCTCGAGGTCGAGTTGGCCGACGGCCAGGGCGCCTGCGGGGTTGGGTTCGAGAACCCTCGGGTCTCTGGAGGGACTGAAGGCATCCTCAGATGTCTCCGGCACGGAGGGGCCCTCGTCTCCCCACGACCACTCCTTGTTGTCGCCGCGGGCCGCCGTCGTCAGCGCCAGCAGCAGGAGGCACGCGAAACCTGCAGAGATAAACAGAAAGTTGCTCATGTTTTTGTTAGCATCCAAAGGCGTCACAGGAGTTTCCCTTTCTCTTGGAGATCAGTGAACTGTCACAAGAAAGTTCTCGATTTGTTTCACTCACTTTCACTTTTCTTTTTTCTCTGCATATTTTCAAACACATACAAATAACATATCACCTTCACGGCACCACGCTACGAAAACTATACTCACGTTTCATTCTTTAAAAATCTCCCAGAATCCAGCGAAATAAATAAATAATCTGACGAATAAATAGCTACAGAGAGGGTCGCCGGTAGTACGAGAGCGGAGGTCACCTTCACCGCGCTCTCTGCTGGGATTGACTCGACTCGCTGCACCGGCCCGCCGCTCTTATATATGGTGGCATCCTTCGCCCGCTCGGTTCCCGCTACATTCCCGCTACTCGGCCGCTTCTTCACGCGACCTTCACCCTCTTCAAGGCATGGGAGCAGATTCCCGGGAAATGAGTGATGTCATCATGTTCGGACATTGATCCCTCGTCGCTGGTGAATGTGCATCCTTTTCATTATGTCTTTTTTTTCTCTAACTGCAATTTAAATAAGCACTTTAATCCCACAGACATAGTTTTGTTAAAGAAAGTGATGATGGAACCAAATATAACTGCCTATAAACTGGTTCGCATATAAAGAGCCGGATTCTGCTATAAGAGAGAGAGAAACAGAGAAAGAGAGAGTGAGAGACACGGAGAAAGAGAGAGAGAGTGAGAGACACGGAGAGAGAGAGACAGAGAAAGAGATAGATAGATAGAGAGAGAAACAGACACCGAAAGAAAGAGAGAAACAGAGATTGGATGAAAGAGAGAGAGAGAAGAAGAGATGAGAGGAGAAAGGAGAGAAGAAATTCCACAGACAGACGCATAAAAAGGAAAATAATACACTGAATACCTCATTTATGGATCCAGGACACGGAACAAAACTCGAGTATTTTTTTAAGATATTAACAAGGAGTAAATGCATGCAACCCCCCCCCCCCCCCCCCCACCCTTTCCCAACTCCCCACCCACCCTTCAACTCACCCCGCTTCCAACCTGTCTCCCCTTCCCCTCCCCCTCCCCTCCCTCCCTTCCAGACCCATGACTGGTTCAATAAGAAAGTAAATGAAGTGAAAGGGGCGAGAGAGGTGGGAGGTGGAGGGGGAGGGGAGAGGGCATGCTACAGGTACAAATGCTGGTGCAATGTCCACGACCAGAGGGGGAGGGGGGGGGGAAGGGGGCAAGGGTAGAAGGAAGTTTATCGAATGCTTTTCGTAGGAAAAAAAAATATATATATATACGGCTTGTTCGTGACGAAATGGATCAATCCCACGTGTTCGAGGTGGATAAAGTGGATCGATTTGGATCATTCAGGAGATCCATCCTCTTCTCTCAGCTTGAGTTCCAGGGAGTTGTCACCAGCCACGAGTTAAAATGGCGTGACAGGAAACCGTGGCAAGTTTCGATCCGTGACCGACCCATGCCGTTGATGTTGTCATAGGGATATTTATAAACTCACGGTCGCCTGGGCACAGGGCGAAAGTAACAGCAGTGATAATGGGAGAAATATAAATGAGATAGAAAGAAGAACTGGAAGAGAGACGGGGAGGAGAGGAGTGAGGAGTAGCAAAGAGAGGGAGAAAGATAGAACGAAACAAAGAGAGAAAGGGAGATAGACATACAAACAAAGAGAGACAGAGAAGATCAGTCAGTAAGTAAACCATAAGATACAGAGGGAAACATACAATAAGAAAAAAAAGTTCAAATTACAAATGTTTCAAACATAGTCTTGAATTGAAGGGTTAAAAAGAGAGAAAGTTGACATCAAATTTATTAACCACCAAAAAAAGAAGACATTAGCAGAGTACGTTAAAAAAGTCAAATAAAAAAGGTTATGACAAAAGGTAAAGTGAACATCCCTCTTTCTTTTATATGATAGAAGGATGTGTAAGCCAGGTAAATAATTTTTAAAAAGTAAAAAAAAAAAAAAGAAAGAAAGTGGATATGATCTTAGACATCTTTCGGCCAGACACGTATCCACGAGACGAAGGACAATTGGCCTAAGGAACAAAAGAAATACAGAAAACGAAATAAAAAAAAAAGGAAAAGCTAGATAGAAAGAGAGAGAAAACCGAAACGTAATTTTGTAGGTCACCGGAAAATTAATGGCGATTTTTACTAACCTTTCCCCTAATAAGCCTATTGGCGAGGGAAATAAATTGTCATGAGGGCCGAGGGAGGACAGGTGGGAGAAATGGGGGGGGGGAAGGGCAGGGACAGAGAGATGAGGGGAGTGAGAAAGGAAATATAGGAGAAGGAGGGAAAGAGGAATGGAGAGAAATAGGAGAGGGAAAGGAAAGAGAGAGAGATGAGGAGAGAGGGAAATGAAAGAGAGAGAAATGGGTGAGGGAAATGAAGAAGAAAGAGGGAGGTGAAGGAGGGAAAGAGATATGTAAGAGGAAGAGAAAGGAGAAGGAAGGAAAGGGAAATGGAGGAGAAAGAGAAAGGGATAAGGGAGGGAGAGGGAGCTGTGAGAGAAATAGAGGCAAATGAGGGAAAGGAGATTGGAGGAGAAAAAAAGGGATAAGAGAGGGAGAAGAAGTTGTGGGAGAAACAGAAGGAGAAGAAACTTGAATAGAAAGAAAGGGTGGCAAGAGAGAGAGAGAAATATGAGGG